CTACTGTATTTTATGATATGCTATACAGTCAACCCTCACTTTACGCGGTTAATGTAACCCACAGGGTACCGCGGAAAGTGAGAAACGCGTAAAGTGAATAACATAACATATGGGATTAAATGAAACAGAGACCAGCTGACCCCCAAACTCCACTTTTTCCAACACAATACCTATGTCCTAGTAAAAATAACATCTTAATTTTATGATGGTACATGCACACAATTAATACTTAAGAGAAATAGAGAAATACAGTCGCCAAGTTAATGTCCATTCAAATAATGGACTCAACTCCCTCCCCCTCTTCTCACACTACACTCCTGGCTCTTCCCTCTGAGAAATTTTGGGGGGAAAACCAGGTATAGTAATAAAAATTACCTCAAACTAAAGTTAGGACAATATAATTGACATTGCTGGATTCCTTGTAAGACCAGGAATATTTTGAATACAAATGTCATATATTTTGCATCCGATGGGTCAAGCAGCACCTACGGGCTAAAATGTTCTTTGCTCTGTTTTGGGAATGTTTCTTAGAGAAGCTTCTTGGAGGCTTCTTAACCCAGAACCCCAAAAATTTTGGTCAGAATCTTCCGAAATCCGGATTTACCGGGTCCGGATATTCGAGGGTTTACTGTATTAGATAAACTTAAAAGCAGCATTAATGCGTCAGAGGTTGGCCGTGCGTTTGAAGTTAACGAGTCAAATGTTTGTTCCATGAAGATGAAAGGCAAGGAAATTAGAAGTAGTGTTGCTAATAGTGCACCACACAGTGCTAAAGTTACACATCAGATACGTGATAAAGGGATGGAGAAGATGGAGAAGGCCTTATGTGCATGGATTGAGGACATGAGTAAGGAGTGCCAAAAATTTTACATATGATTTACGACTATGACCCACCAATGAAATTAAGCATAAAAATGAAGTGGAATATTGTGAATGTTTTACAACCTTAACAAGAAATCAATAAGGACCATGTGAGGCAGGCAGCAAACAATGCGTCTCCGCTATTACAATCCAGCTGACTTCCCAAACATCACACCACATTTACTTGCATTTCATTTAATTTATTTTGATTAACACAACACAACTGTATAAAGTAACTGTACATACCTTAGTAGTATTTAGAGGACTTAAATAGTATTTTTTTTCTAATTTTATTTATATTTTAATATATGGTACCCTATAATATTAAAGATGGGGTATTAAAGACTGTTATTCGCAAAAGTCTACATTCGTGGGTTTCCCAGGAACCTATCCCTCGTGAATGTTGAGGTACTAATGTAATTGGCAACTCAATCCGAATGTATTTGTCTCAAGACCCATGTTTCATGGTGAGTTACCCACCAGATATTGTGAGGGATGCATGTCCTTTGACTTTTCTTATGATCCACCTCACTGTTCATCTAGAGTTGCTTGATTTAAGTGGGATTGATAGAGTATCGGATGACGAAGACAATGATGGGAAGAAACAGAACCCAGATGATGCCAAGTTTGTTGAGGCGGTGACAATATTGATAGGCCTACAGACTGGTGCTCGCTCCCTCCCCTCCCCACCCATTCAGCCACTGTGACCCACGACACCAAGATATGAAGACTTGGTGCACCCTAGCAAAGGGGAGTAGGGGTTAAGAACAAGCCTGGTCATCATCACATTTCCTCTTTGAGGCTAAGGGGACTCTTGAAGGTGAAGTGGAGACATCAATCTGACTCCCACACAGCCTCTGTGGAATCAAGCTTCACTTCCAAACACATCGGTTTTCCTGGGTGCCTTAGCTTTCCCAGACATACTGAAAGTTACATTGCTCACATCACAGCCACAGAGACAAGGCACTTAAAAAAAAAAAGAGAACGGTGATAACATTATTGCGGCCGACAATAACCACATCATGTTGACATTAACAGATACAAAGTACTTTACAGTCACAAAAAACATAGTAAAAATCACTTCAGTCACCAAAACAGGGTACTAGTGTTATCTCAATTAGCCAGAACAACTGGTACAGAGCACTTCCAGGAATGAGAGATTTCCAGGTAAGGAGACAACTCTCTCAAAACAAAACAAAAACCCCTCATCCCCGAAATTTTCTCGCACGTTCCAGAAATTGCACATTAAATATCTCTCAAACCCGGAAAGAAATCCCCCATCCCCGGAATTTTACAGACTGATGCATTATTTCATCTCTCAAACCCAGTCGTAAGTCGAAAATAATACATAGAAATTCTAAAATGAAATACAGTACAGTACAGTAAAAGTAATCAATAATGAAAATGAATAAAGTGTTCCTGTGCACTTAGATTTAATGTAGTTAGTTGAATGCACACACACTACATGTCTGCTGTTCAACACCTCAGCTCACATGATCTACGTGACCTCCGCTGTAAACATTAATCTGTATGTTCACTGTATGTTCCTTTACCTTTCTCTAATGAAGGCTTTTGTTAAACCACCAATGTATGTAATAAGTCATTTATGTCCAATGTATATTTTCAGCCTTCGGGCTGCAGAACCTTTTCAATAAATTATTAATATTAATATTAATATTAATAATTATTATTATTATTATTTCAATAATTAATATTATTATTATTATTATTATTATTATTATTATTATTGTTATTGTTATTATTATTGTTGTTATTGTTATTGTTATTATTATTATTATTATTATTATTATTAATATTAATATTAATATTAATATTATTATTATTATTATTAATTATTATTATTATTATTATTATTTCAATAATTTTTTAAATACAGTCAAGCGCCAGTTACCGTCCTAGATACATTCTTGGAAACGTGATGTTAACCGAAATGGACGTTGTCCGAAATTACATAAACCTATCGGATTTATCCTAATGGAGGTTCAAGGCACCCAACCCCAAGTTTCCCATTTTACAACCCTTTATACCCACTAAATATATATATATATATATATATATATATGGTAAATATCATAAACACACATAGGCATGGCTAGGTTTATTACAAAGTGATGAAAAGGATACTGTAAAGTGGGTAGTCCACAAAACATGTAGCTATGTCTCTTTATTTGAGTGCCCCGTCAAAGAAGTCCGTTTTCTCTCATTTCAGGACGCCTGAGTCGTCCGTTTTCTCTTAATTTTAGAGTGCAGTACACCAGATACTTCTTTATTCCATAGTAATGACACAGAATTTGAAATTGCAACCCCTTGTTGAGGCAACTAGATATGTCTGATTACAGCAAATGTGTTTTTGTCAATTTGTGGGTGAAAGATTTTATCCTCAATAGATGTAGGTTGACATCACACCTGGAGGCAAATGCCTAAGGAAGGAAGGATATTCCTTTAACACATAATATCTGGCCAGTATGGGGAGGATCATCGTGTCTCCGTCAGGGGGTCGTGGAGTGGTGGTCCAGCATGCGTCACTTTTTTGGGGGGGGGGGCACGGACGTATATGCGATCGGACGTTGTTCGGTTGGACGTTAACCGGCGCATGACTGTAAACATGGAGACTACAATAATTGGATGACGCAGAGGAGGAGACAGGGCTGGGTGAGTCATCAAGTTCGCTTTCTTCAGACAGGCTAACATACTTGCTTGTTGAAGGTACTGGATCATCTTTGGGGAGTGAAGAGAATTGCTCCGCTATTTGCAATTGCGATAATCTCAACAAGTTTCATGCCCGTAACCTTTGCAATAAGTGAGGCAGCCCTGTACTACAGGGCTGCCTCATAATCAACACCGGTTGATTAGGAGTTGTTGATAATTTTTATAATGGCTGGGACTGGGCTGTTCTAACAGCAAGTGTTTGTGTGTGTGTCTACACACAGACATACAATGCAGGTTAAAGAAATAATTGTTCAAAGGGCAAACACTAAAGGGAATATGCATTTCTTTGTACTGTATACAAGTAATAATGTAACCCCCCCGGCCGTCAGCAAATGTTATTCATGGATTTGGCTATCCGCGGCCATTTTGAGAACCTAGCCCCCACGAATTTGAAGGGCATGCTGTACAGTATTATACTCAGTGTTTACTGCCCTGCCATTTGAGCCTGTTGTTTGCTCTCCGTGTTTTGATGTTATCCTTAGTTAATGATACAGTAGTTTAGCTTAACTGGGTTTTTCAGGAATGTAACCTGACTGTTAAACAAGGGATACCTGTATAACAGAAAAAGGGTTCCAAAAGTGAAGAAAAGAACATTCACATACCATGACTTCATCAGCTCCCCATTATTCTGATATATGGTAGTAAGGGAGATATGTGTGATACGAGGATTACACCATAAAATGATTACAAAAAACATACTCTGTCATTTCTTTTGAGTCTGATTGCTGACAACAATAATTGAGATTTTCTTCCATACAGATAAAGGTAACGCAGTACAGTATAGTCTCGATTTACGAGGATTTGGTTTACGCGTTTGGTCATTTACGCGGCACCTTGCCAGACTGACAATTTTTATTTACACGGTTCATTCCATCATTTACGCGGGAAGCGGCGCGGGCAGGGTGCTCACAAGGTCACCCAGTCAACAGAACATTACCGAGTTCTTCACCCGCCACCGCCGACCCAAGTCAGTGATAGTGAGGATATGGACTTTGAGGGGTTTGACAAAGAGACCCTGCAAGCCTCTGTGGTGGATAGTGATACAATTGATACAGGTGATACAGGTGAGGGCCAATAATCTGCCCTCTGCCTCGGAACCAACCCCCCATCCCTGTGTGCCCAGCCATCTTTTCTACCAACGTAAGTGTTAAAAAACCTAATGTTATTTATATTTCTCTTAAATATTAATTGTGTGCACATACCATCTTAAAATTAAGATGTTATTTTTACTACAACGTAGGTATTGTGTAGGAAAAAGTGTAGTTTGGGGGTCGGCCAATCTCTATTTCAATTAATCCCATAATTATGTTCCGTTATTTCGTTTACGCGGACCTCCACGGGTTCAATTGACCGCGTAAATGAAGACTATACTGTACGTAAGTGTTCCGAGACAATAAAGAGGAAATTACCTTTTTATGTTGCAACTTTATTTCCAACTCATTTATGGAATGAAATGAAGGAGAGCGGGAGCTTTTACTTGAAACAACTGAAGTGGAAGACATCTCTGGACTGGAAACACTCTGTGCAGATACATCACTACCAGAAGAGGCAAGAGAAATATCAGACTGTACATTGGGGCTACCATGACCACTTGACATACTCTGGAAAAAAAAATAATTATATACAGTACAGGGGTGTATATAATAATGTATCAAGCATTTATATTCTATTTCTCTAAAACTATAAAACACTTCTTTGATAAGTTTTTATCCATTTGAAAATACAAAAAAAAATTACAACAAATATATAGAAGTGGAATTGACTTTTCACATAACAATACAGTACAGTGTATGCACATTGCTGCAAAAGTTTGCAAAATGGTAAGGAAAAAAATTCAAAACAATATAGACAAAATACCTGTATACTCTCCACACTAAGGTTAGACAAAGCCTCTTCCAACTCATCTATTTGCAATTTGAGCTTGGCACCCTTGTCTGGTAGAGCCGATATATTGGCAGTACGCATCACAAGCTATGGAAAATATAACAAAGCATTTACAGTTAACATTCTAGCGGAGTTGGAAATTATCATTCAATCTTACCAACATGAATTATTTTTTGACAAGATGAACACATGAAAAAGTAATACAAAAATAAAAGTAGAAAAAACTGAGAAAGCAACGAAACAGATACTCCTGCCTGCAAATAAAGTGTACTGTACATGTACTGCCTACTGAGATAGTCCAGCCAAGAAGAGACGAAATACAGTACAGTGGTCCCACGGTTAACGAACACAATTTGTTCCACAGAGTCGTTCGTTAATCAAAAATTTCGTTAACCGAATCCATTATTTCAATGGGATATTAGGTAACTGGTTCCAGCTCACAGAAAAGTCCATACAAAGTAAAGCCAAAAAATGCATAGTCAGAAACAACTAAAATTCCCCTAAATCAGGGCTGTAGGGGGGCTGAGAGACCTGGGTGATGCGATATTTTGCCAAAAAACCCTGCATAAGACATTAAGAATGGGCAGGTGCGTTGTCATGATGAAGCTGCCAGTCACCACTTGCCCACAGCTGCGGTTGTTTTCTTCTTATCGCATCCCTCAGCCGGCAAAAAACTTCGATGTAGTACTCCTTCGTTATTGTTTGGCCTGGACGAGATTAAGGAGAATGCAACAAGACAGCTCAAGATCCCGAAAGAGGACTTTGCAGACTGTTTTGAAAAGTGGAAGGGATGCTGGGAGAAGTGTGTGAGGTCCCAAGGGGAGTGCTTTGAAGGGAACTAAGGCGCCATTGTCCTAGGTAAGCAATATTTTTTTAAGCTTAAAATGTCGACTTATACGCCACAATTTACGGCACTGTAATTGCTTCGATAACCGTTCATTCACTATCCAACGACATTTCGCAGTCCCTATTGCCCATTTTCTAAATATACGGGACAGTAAATCCAAGAGGCATCACGAACATCAGGTTTTTGAAGTGACCCAAGAAATGGATTCATCATATGAGGCGCTCAGAATTACAAGGGGGTAAAGAGCCACCGTGGGCAAAATGCATTTTTTGATGGATATCACTATTTTCACCCTTCCTCTACATGTTGGATGTAACCCCCAAGGTAGACTAGAAATATGGTTGAAAGTCTTTCAAAAATAGGGTGTCATTTCGCCTCAGGCGGGAGCTACGTATCTGGCTGTGTGTTCAGTAAGTAAAGGTGGTCACATCCCGTTCAGAGTGAGAGGAGCAATTTTTAGAGAGGGCAGAGAAAGACTTTGAACAGTACATGATTGATTATGACGAGGCCATTAAAGTTATACGCACTCCTCAGGATTTACGTAATTTCAAGTTACTACGATCATCAAGGTTAATAAAACGAAGGAACTATACAAAGTAAGATTGTAATACTATAGTGGTCCCTCGGTTAACGAACACAATTCGTTACAGTCGTTCGTTACCCGAATCCATTGTTTCAATAGGATATTGGGAAACTGGTTCCAGCTCACAGAAAAGTACAGTGACCCCTCGTTTAACGAACACCTCGGTTAACGTAATTTCGATTAACGAACTGCCTTCCATAAGGATCTTCAATTCGGTTAACGAAAAAAAATTCGGTTAACGAAGTTCTTACGAACCGACCTCAACATGTTTTCGCTTGCACTAACCGGGCAACCAGCTTTAGTATCAGTCCGCCAATACATTAATCGGTTCTAGGGCTTAAATTCCTTACTATTTTAGTAAATATCAAGAAGTTTATACTATTCAATAATTTTAAAAGTTTAATATTCAATTTTTTAGTCATTTTAACAATTATTGAACATAATTGAAGGTAAAGTGACTAGTTTAATGAGCGGCATCCAGCCTCTCAACACAGCAAACAGGAGTTAGACTCTCTCTGTTTTCACTGGAGGTAACATCTTGCTTGAGACTCTTCAACTAAACGCTTTTTTCTGTGTTTCCAAGCAAATTATTGGTCATTTTGAAATTTATTTTACATATTGACAATATATAGCGCAGTGCAGTGTTATTTTAAAGAAAATATTCTTTATTTACAGCTAGTTTAACTTTTAAAAACACGTGTTGACATTGTTTGAATCCAGCATGGGGCCTAAGAGATCAAAAAAAGCAATTTCAATCCAAATCAAGCAGGAAATAATAAAAAAACATGAACAAGGCATTAAATCAAATGCGCTATGCAAAGAATATGGCATGTCGGCATCAACTGTGTCGACAATTCTTGCACAAAAAGACAAATTTAAAGAAGTGAACGTGAGACAAATCTACAAGTGTTTAAAAGTAGATCCCTAATCGTAGAAACTGACAGGTTACTTATCATCTGGATTAGGGAAAAACAGATGAAAGGTGATTCAGTTTCTGGTGATTTCATTTGTGAAAGAGCCAGGGAGATTTATGAACATTTAAAGGCAGATCAACCTGGTTCTTCAGGAACAGAATTTGAAGATTTTCGGGCTAGCAAAGGCTGGTTCGAAAAATTTAAGAAAAGAAGTGACATTTTAAGTGTTGTTAGGCATGCTGAAGCTGCTAGTGCTGATAAAGAAGGGGCAGCAAAGTTTTTAGTTGAATTTAAAAAACTGATGGAAGAAGAAAATTATCTTCCACAGCAAGTGTTCAATGTGGACGAAACTGGGCTGTTCTGGAAAAAGATGCCCAAAAGAACATTCATCACCAAAGATGAAGCCTCTTTACCTGGGCATAAACCCATGAAAGACCGTCTCACTCTATTGCTTGGTGCCAATGCTTCAGGGGATTTCCGACTGAAGCCTATGCTTGTCTATCACTCTGAAAACCCCAGGGTGTTCAAGCAACAGAAAGTGGTAAGAACAAAACTTGGAGTTTATTGGAAGTCCAACTGTAAGGCATGGGTGACAAGACACCTCTTTAATGAATAGGCTGTTGATGTGTTTTGCCCTTCTGTCAAGAGATACCTAACCACCAATAAACTCCCTTTAAAGGTTCTTCTCCTCATGGATAATGCTCCTGGTCATGACCCTGACCTTGCCAGCAATTTGACTTTGTGAAAGTGTTGTTTTTGCCTCCAAACACTACATCAATCATACAGCCAATGGACCAGAATGTAATCAGCAACTTCAAGAAGTTGTACATGAAGAAAATGTTTAGGAGGTGTCATCAGGCAACTTCCACTGATCCTGAACTAACACAAACAGTTCTGGAAGACACAATTCAACGTCCTGGAGGCTGTAAAATTGATTGTGTCATCATGGCAAGAAGTCTCCACTAGAACCCTCAATTCTTCATGGAAAGCACTGTGGCCATCAGTAGTCCATGATTTTGAGGGATTTGAGGAAGAAACAGAGTTGGACCAGGAGATTGTGTCCATTGGTCAGTCAATGGGCCTTGAAGTGGAGGAGAAGGATGTGGAAGAGCTTGTGATGTCTCATGAGGAGGAACTTACTCCTGAAGACTTGAAGCAACTGGATGAGATGTTACGGGTAGAGGCTGACAGTGGTGAGGAGGAAATTGAAAGTGATGACCATATGTCAGCTAAACAGTTGAAAGATGTGATTTACTACTGGGAGAAGTTCAGGGAACTGGCTTCAAAGCACCCAGAAGTGGAAAAAACTGAACTAGCTTTGTGTCATGTTGAGGACTCCGTGGTCTCCTTCTTTAAACACAAGTTAATGGTGAGGAGGACAGGTGTCCCACATACCACAATTGACACTTTCTTCAGTAAAAGGCAGAGGGAACAAGATGCTGGCCCTCAGCCTTCCACTTCAAGAAGGAGAGAGGATGATGCTAGCCCTCAGCCTTCCACTTCAAGAAGGAGAGAGGATGTTCATGGTGGAGAATCTGTCAGTCCAGCGGTTCTTGACATTTTCATGGAAGGTGACTCACCTTCCAAGAAGCAGTAAAATGCTTCTCCTCCACCTCCACTTCCTTCTCTTCTCCCTTCTCCTCCTCCACCTCCCACTTCAAATGCACATCATCATCATCCAGGAGCCTTCTACATACACACCTCAAAGTAAGTAAATTTTTCTACCATTTTTGTTGAAGTTAGGAAATTTTCGGTGAGCTGGAACCAATTACCCAAAAACCCATTGAAACAATGGTTTCGGTTAACGAACGTTTCGGTTAACGAACGACCTTCTGGAACGGATTGAATTCGTTAATGGAGGGGTCACTGTACATACAAAGTAAAAAAAATGCAGTAAAGTACACTTACTTTGAGGTGTGTATGTAGAAGGTTCCTGGTTGATGATAATGATGGGAATTAGAAGTGGGGGTGGAGGAGAAGGGAGAAGAGAAGGAAGTGGGGATGGAGAAGAAATCACCTTTCAGGGTACCCATGCTTGATGCCGTCATTTCACTAATAAAATTTTAAGTTCATTTGGTGTAATTCAAGATTATTTTATTAAAATCAACACTGCACTATGATATATATTAACAATATGTTAACTAAATTTCAGAATGACCAATAATTTCAATGTAAAAATATTCAATACACCAACAAAATAGATGTTCACTCCACTGTCAACAAAGCCAGACTGACGCCTGGTGGCTGAGTCAAGCGGCTGATGGGCACACAAAAAACTAGTTCCCTGTACTGCATATATTATCAATATGTTAACTAAATTTTAAAATGACTAATAATTTTAATATATAAAAAATGCAAAAATATTAAAGAGCACAACTTTCTGGATATTTACTCCACTGGAAACGAATGTAAACATAGAACAGATTACTGAATTGGCAGACTAGCCCATCAGCTGATCAACTGATGCTCACAACAATACAGTACATGTTTTACGTAAGGATTTCGTTAATCGAAGTTTTGTTCGTTAACTGAATTGAAGATACTTATGGGAGGTAATTCGTTAACCGAAATTTCGTTAATCGAACCGTTCGTTAACCGAGGGACCACTATATTATCATAATAATGTTTTTACCAAAGATTATGCAAACTTTCTCCGCCTTTGTATTCGTAGTATGTTACTTACGTTGGGGGGAGGAGAGGTTAATGGTGGAGGGGAATGAGTGTAGTGGTGTTTCCTTATTAT